GCGGCGCGGCGGCCACGGGCGCCGGCGGCGCCATCGGCGCCGCCGCCGGCGCGACGGGCGCCGCCGTGGGCAGCACGGGCGCGACGGACGGGGCCGAGAGCGGCGCCGCGGAAGGGGCCGGCATGAGTAGGGCCCAGGCAAAAGGGCCCCTTGCCGAGGCCTGGAGACGACGCGCGCGGCTGCCCAAACGATATTGTTTTTTTCGCTCCCAAAATCAGAGTTGTTTTACTGGCTCAACAAGTGTTCAAGCTGGCTGGCGGAGTTGTTGTTGGCGAAGGTGCCGCAGCTTGACCAAGGCCCGCCCGGGCCCGACGCCCAGCAGTCGTCCCGGCGCGACAGCTACCGCGCCGCTGCCGCCGCCGCCGCACTCTTCGCAGCGCGCCATGGGCGAGCAGCACCCCGAGAAGGCGCGGCTCCCGACGCCGCTCGTGGCGCTGCTGCTCTGCGGCTTCAGCGTGCTGCAGGCCATGGCCGCCGCCGCGAGCAAGGAGGGCGGCGAGTACCCCTACAAGGTCGTCGCGTCGACGCTCCTCTCCGAGGTCTTCAAGATCGCGCTCAGCGCCCTGTGCCTCGCGCGCGAGGTGTGGGGCGCGCCGGACGCGGACCGGCGCCGCGCGCTCTACTTCACGACGAAGACGCTCGCGGCCGCCGCGGTGCCCGGCGTCGCGTACCAGGTGCTCAACAACCTCAACTTCGTCACGCTCTACTACGTCGACGCGCCCACGTTCCAGATTTTGGGCAATCTCAAGATCGTCGCGACGGGCCTCGCGGGCCGCTACCTCCTCAAGCGGAAACTCGATACCGGCCGCTGGCTCGCGCTCGTGCTCCTCACGCTCGGCGCGGCGTCGTCCCAGGTCGCACCGGACTGCGCCGGCGACGGCGCGGCGTTCCTGCGGTTAGGCGACCGCGCCTACGGCTACGCGTCGGCCGTCGCGTGCGTCGGTCTAAGCGCGACGATGGGCGTCTTCACGGAGGCGTTCATGAAGGGCACGCGGAGCTCCATCCACTTCCAGAACATGCAGCTCTACGCCTTCGGCATCGCCGCGAACCTCGCCGCGCTCCTCTACCGCGGCGAGGTCGGCGCGGGCGCGAGCCCGCTCTTCGCCGGCTTCAACGTCTGGGGCAGCGTCGCGACCGTCGCGAACGGCTGCTGCGGCCTCGCCGTGTCCTTCATGCTGCGCTACGCCGACTCCATCGCCAAGACCTACGCGTCGGCGCTGACCATCCCCGCGACGGCCGCCGCGTCCTACGCGTGCTTCGGCACGCCCGTCGGCGCCGCGTCCGCGCTCGGCTCGGGCGTCATGCTCGCGTCCCTCGCCTTCTTCTACGGCGGCGCGGACCTCTTCGCGCCGCCGGACGCGGGCAAGCTACCGGGGGCCGCGGACCGATAGTAAGGGCCATCTAGATGGCGCGCGCGCCGCGAGCAACGGCGCGTAACGTCCTTAGTCACTACTTCCGCCGGTTCGTCAGCGCCATGGGGAACTGGACCTGGGGCGGCGTCGCGGCGCCGCGGACGTTGGACACGCCCGCGCGGACGCGCGTCGTCGGCCGGCGGTGCGGTGTCGTCGCGTAGCCGCGGCCCGGCGACCGCGCGGGCCCCGCGGGCGGCGGGAAGAGCTCGTCGGACCGCGTCCGCCGGAACGCCGCGCCGTCGTCGACGCCGAGCAGCGCGCTCTGGCGCACGCGGAGCGCGGCCGTCGCGTAGACCTCGTCGCGCACGGTCACGTAGTGGTTCAGCAGCATCTCGAGGTTCGCCGCTTCGATGAGCTGCGCCTCGCACGCGCCGTCCGCGGAGAGCTGCGCGCGCCAGTGCGCGCCCAGGAGGCAGCCCTCCTCGCCGAAATAGGCGCCCACGCGGAAGTGGCCGAGCTCGCGCGCGCCGCGGCGGCCCGACGCGTGGATCGCGATCGCGCCGTGGACGAGAAAGTAGACCGCGTTCGCGACCTCGCCCTTGCCGACGAGCACCTCGCCCGAGTCCGCGAGGAGCGGCCCGAGCACGGCCACGGCGTCGGCGACGAAGGACCGCGGCTTGCCGATGAAGAAGGGCACGCGCGACACCAGCGACCGCTCCAGATGGATGACGAGCGCGGACCTTAAATCCCGCGGCAGGTTCGCGACGAGCTGCTCCGTCTCGTCCGTGCGCCACAGGTGCACCGCGTTGAGGTAGCGCTTCTGGTGGTTGTGCATGGCCGTCGCGAGGCGCATGGGCACGTCGTGCTTGTGCACGAAGCGCTGCAGCGCCTCGGACTTGGAGTGCATCTCGCGCTTCTTCGTGTCGAAGGACGCGATGACCGCGCCGAAGGACGAGATGATGATCGCGTACATGCCGACGCCCGCGACCATGATCACGGACGTGAAGATCTTCTCGCCGGGGCTGTTCGGGTGGATGTCGCCGAAGCCGACCGTCGAGATCGTCGTGATGGCCCAGTAGAGGCAGGTCACGTACAGGTCGAAGTTGTCGTCGCCCTCGCCCTCGCGGTTCAGCCCCGCGATCTGGAGCCAGGAGCAGCGCCGGAAGGGCACGGCCGCGCCCGCGTAGCACGCGTCGTCGTCGACGCCGTCGCCGCCGCGGAGCCCGAGCAAACCCCAGAAGCACGCGACGAGGTGCGCGAGCACGAGGGACACGACCGCGAGCTCCGCGATGCGGTCGACGCCCGGGTAGATGCGCATCTGCTTCATCACGCGCCGCATCGCGACCTCGAGGTGGACGACGCGGAGCAGCTTCAGCATCTTGAAGACCCGCAGGTAGCGGACGGCGCGCGCGAGCGGCAGGAACTTGACCGCGTCGGAGTTGACCGTTGTCCGGATCAAGAGTTCGATGGGGACCGTCGCGACGAGGTCGACGAGGAAGTACGTGCGCACGTAGTGCCACCGCACCTTCGCCGGGTCGACGACCAAGGACCGCGTCGCCGCGTCCTCGTAGGCCGTCACGAAGCTCAGGGCCATGTCGCAGGCGTACCAGACGAAGACGAAGACGTCGAAGCGAAAATAGGCCGCGTCCCGGGCGACCTGTGCCGAAATCAAACAGTGAGCTGGGTTATCCCAACCAAACGTCAGAACTCTCTATCTCGGTCGATTCAAAGTCGATTCGGCTGATTTTTGGACGAATCGAGTGCTCTCGTCGAGTTCTCGAAGCACGACCGAAGGGTCCGGTCCGAATCGGTCAACGACGTGCACATTGAAGATTTGAGTTCCACGCCGCGGGCGACGAACGCGACCTCGTAGGGGACGTACAACAAGATGGCGAAGAGCACGAGCGCGGAGCAGACGTCCCAGGCGACCTTGAACGCCGACGTGGGGAGGACGATGTACCAGCCCTTGGTCTTGCGCGCGAGGCGGTCGATCGACTCCTGGCGCCGGTAGGTGTAGCCCGTCGCGACCTTCTCCGACCACGACTGCCGGCGGAAGAGCGCCATCTTCCGCACGGACGCGAGGGGCGTCACCTGGACGTCGTCGTCGTCCCAGTACATGGCGTCCTGGGCGCCTAGCGCGTTGAAGGCCGACACGGCGCGGAGCACGTTCCGGAGCAGCGCCCACCGCCGCTGCGCGCGCGACTTCGTCGGGACCGCGCGCTTCCCCGCGTTGTGCAAAGCCCAGGCGACGACGTCGTTGGCCTTGGCCTTGGCGTCGTCGCTGAGCTTCTGGAGCCGCTGGTGGCGGCCCAGCGCCACCGGGTCCCAGAGGTGGTCGAGGCCCGACGGCGGCGGAGGGTCCGAGAGCTCGACGCCGTCGACGGGCGAGCTCGCGCGCCGCGGCGTCCGCGCGCTGTCCGTCCGTAGCAGCGCCGAGCTGAGCTGCTTCGACGTGGCGGCGTCGAGGGACGACCGGTCGCTCCGCGGGCGGCGCAGCGAGGGCCGCCGGCTCGCGAAGGCGACGCCGCCGCTTTCGCGGCGCGGCGCGCCGAAGCCGAACGCGTTCTTTGCGGCCGCGGGGGACCGCCGCTCCGCCACGGGCGACACGAGCTCGCCGAGGCGGCTCGCGGACAACGACCGGCCCAGGGCCGTGCCGGGGGCGACCTCCTCGAAGGACGGCCGCCGCTTGAGGCGCTCGCGGGACTCGTTCGACTCGTCGACCGTCGCGCCGTCGGTGCGCGCCGACGTGTGGCCCCCGGGGTAGATGATAAGCGGCGACGGCGACCGGACCACCGCCGGGGCGTCGTCGCCGTCCTCGGCGAACGCTTCGCGGTCGCCCATGGATGGCGCACCGGGCGTCGGGGCCGGCGGCGCGCAAAGCGATCGCAAAGAGCCGGGGTCCCGCCTCGCAGTGGCGGTTTTTGCGATGGCCCGTGCGCGCGAACGCGGCCGTCCCTATTTGGGAAACTTTGCAGGCCGCGAGAGGACCCTACTGAGAGTGCGTGTGCAGCGTATCGAGGCGCGGGAACCCGAACGCGTCGCGAAACCAGCCCGTGCGCTCCGCAGTGCAAACCAGTGGAGGTCGGTCGACGGGACCGCCTTCCGCGCCGCGCGCGACTACGGCGGCTGCTGCGAGCGCTTCGGAGGGTCCACGAAGGTACTGCGGACGGGGCGCGACGTCGAACATCGTCCCGACGCACGTATTTCGACCGCGGACTGGCGCTCAAAGCGCGCAGCGAGACGCTGGCGGGCGAGTTCGCATCGATGACGGCGGTTCCAACGATCTCTGGCTGCTGCGGAGGCCGCCCTTGACTACCACAACACCTGCGACGCGAAGCGCACGACCCTGGGACCCGTCGACGTCCCGCGACACGCCGACGGTTTCGGGGTCGTTTTCGGTGCCCGAGACGCGTTTTTTTCGCCGACGAGAAAACGCTGCCGTCGCGCGGTCTTTTTGGCCAGACCGTCGCGTATGGTCATGGCGACGTGCGCGCGGCCCTTTAGAGCGCCGAAAATGACTCGTATGTCGTCGCGTAAGGGTCGGTTTTGGGCTGGATTTCCTCTAGGGATCGGACGAACGCCATCCGATCGCTGCAACACCCCCACCGTTGGGCGTGAGAGTTTGCTGGGGCCTTCCTTAGACGTACCCGCCGGTACTGACCGTTTTTCCGAAATAGGGACGACCGCGTTCGCGCGCACGGGCCGACGCCGGGAGGCGGGACCCCGGATCGTGAATCCGTCTCCACAACAACCGGCGACCGCCGGCGACGCCGCTCGACCGCGCCGCGGCACAAACGCCTCGCGAGCCTTCGCCGCTGCTCGCATCGCTGCCGCGCGCAGCGATGCGACGGCTGCGGCTCGCAACACTCCTAATCGCGCCGCTCGCCCAGGCCCTGAGCCGCGCCTTTGATACGCGCGTGCGCGTGGCGACGACGCTGTCGCAGCCGCTGCCGCCCAACGCCCCAGTGGACCCGTCGCTGACGGCCTACATGCGCCTGCCGAGCGCGCAGTACGCGCTGCTGGATTTGCCCTACGGCGCGTCGCTCGAGCGGCTCGAGGGCGAGAATTTCCTCCTCAAGGTGCCGACGGTCAAGTTCTTCTTCCTGAGCGTCGAGCCCAACGTCTTCGCGACGGTCGAGAGCCGCGAGGACAGCGTCGTCGTCAAGAGCGACCGCTGCACGCTGCTCGGGAGCGACGCGCTCATCGAGCGCATCGGCCTCAACGACGCGTTCGAGTTCGCCGTGACGGCGACGATGACCTGGACCGACGGCGACGCGCGGAGCATCGACTGCGACTGCACGCTCGCCGTCGACGTCGCGCCGCCGGGGCCCTTCCGCGCGATGCCGCGCGGCCTGCTGCAGACGACGGGCAACGCGGTCATGCGCGTCGCCACGGACCAGGTCCTCCGCGGCTTCCTCCGGACGCTCATCCGCGACTACGACGCCTGGGGCTCCGACGCCGCCTACCGGGACCGCCGCGCGCGGGACGTCGGCGACGGTTAGACGACGGTGTCCTAGAAGGTGCCGCCGTTGTAGCCCATGTTCGAGCGCTCGCTGTCGAAGAAGTTGATGTAGTAGCGGCCCTTGGGCACGCCGAGCTCCGCCTCGAGGACCTCGGCGAGCGCCGCGCTCGTCGCGGCGTTCGTCTCGGGCGTGATCGCGCCGAGCGACGACAGGTAGAGGAACGCGGCCGGCGTCTCCGCGTCGCCGCCGTAGCAGACGGCGTCGACCTTCGTGAAGGTCGTGAGCACGTAGGACTCGGGCTTGCCGAGCGTGCCGGCGACGGTCGAGCTCAGGAGCTTGCAGAAGCCGGCGGCGCCCGATTTCGGCGCGACCGCCGCTTGCACGACGACCGACGGCATCCTACGAGAGGGCGCGTAAACGATGGGGCGGAAACGCGCGGGTGTCGCCGCGCCGCCTCTCGCGCGATCGTCGTCCGCCGCGGCGGCCGCCGCGCCACGTGCGTCGAGGCGCCAAAGGCGCGCGCGGACAGGCGCGTGCCGGTCTGGAACGCGGCGACTCGTGGCAAGACACTGAGCAGGTAGAAGAGGACGCGGCGCATGACTGCGGTCTGGACTCTTTGTAGCGGCTCGGCGTTGAGGCTGCGGATTGTAGCAGCTCGGTCTCGCGTGCGAGGCTGCGGACGGCGCTCTCAGTGCTCTCGATTGAGCTCGACTGCATATTGCCCCGTTGAAGCCGGTGTTGACTCTGCAGCCGAGCGAGCTGCCCGTGTCGCTGTACAAAGCTGCCTCCAACCGCTTGGCCGCGGCGTCCGTCGCGTCCCAGCGGTCCACCAACTCGAACCCCTAGAGCCACGATGGTCGAGGTCTTGGCGCTGGCGCCGCTCGTGACCCTCGCGTTCGTGCTCGTGATCGTGGCGGTCCTCGCCTGGGCCGCCTGGGACGCCCGCAAGTTCGAGGCGACCCGCCGCGACCCGACGCCCGCCCCGACCCCAACGCCCCCGACGACCCCCGCGCCGCCAGCAGCCCCCGCGCCGCGGCGCAACCCGAACGTCGTGCGGGACGTCGACGACAGCGACGACGACGACGACGACGAGGAGACCGTGGGCCCGCGGCTCGCGGAGGCGCGCGCGCGCGCCGCCGCGCACAACGGCTTCACGCCCTACGTGTCGCGGCGCGACCGCGCGCGCCGCGAGAAGCTCGCGGCGGCGGCGAAGCCGCCGCCGGCGTCCGGCGCCGTGGAGAGCGGCGGCGCGGGCCGCGACGGCTTCTGCCTCTGCGAGCGCCTCGTCGTTGACGGCCGGCTCTTCGAGGCGCGGTGGGCGGACCTCAAGGACCTCGGCAACGACGCGCTCCGCCGCGGCGACGGTGGCGACGAAAAATGCTACGGCCTCGCGCTGAAGCACTACGGCGACGCGCTCCAGGTCGCGACGAGCCCCTGGCCCCAGTGGCGCGCGCTCAAGGCCGCGGCGGCCGCGGACTCGTCGATCCGCACCGCGCTCGAGATCGAGCCCGTGGCGCGGAACATCCTGAGCTGGCTGCCCGTGGCGCCCCAGGCGCGCGTGCCCCACGTCGTCGGCGACTTCCTGTGTGGAAATCAACCACTGGTTTGGGGGGTCCCCACCAAACTTCAGAACTCTCTATCTCGGCCAATTCGAAGTCGATTCGGCTGATTTTTGGACGAATCGATTGCTCTCGTCGAGTTCTCGAAGCACAGCGAACGAGTCTGGTCCAAATCGTTCGATTACGCGCACATTGAAGTCGGGTTGAAGATTTGATTCCACACAGGCTCCGTGAAGATGAAGCTCTCGACGCCGAACCTCCCCGCGGCCATCTGCCTCGGCAACCGGTCCTACGTGCTCATCAAGCTCGGCCGCCTCGCCGCGTCGAAAGGCGACGACGACAAGGCGCGGTCCTGCTTCCTCATGGCGCGCCGCGACGCGAAGCGGGCGCGCGAGGTCTGCCCGGAGTACCTCAAGGCGCACCGCCGCTACCGCGCGGCGCTCGCCGCGCTCGGCGACGACGACGGCGCCAAGGCCGTCGACGACGAGGTCGGCGACTTCCTCGTCGTCAACAAGGAGATGTCCTGGAACGGGCCCGTCCTCTTCGCCGCGGGCTGGATCGACCACTTCGACCTCATGCGTGGATCCGCGCGGCCCCGACAAAACTTCGAAACTCTCGAGCGCGGTCGAATCGATCCGGCCGACGTTTGGACGAGGAGGACCCGAGCTCCGGCGACGACGGCTCGCGGGGCGCGCGCGCTGCTCGTCTGCTCTCGTCGAGTTGGGCTCGCGTCGAACCGTCGGGTTGGAGATTCGAGTCCCGCGCAGGTGCGTCTACCAAGCCGCGCGGATGCAGTGGGCCGTGGAGCTCATCAAGCGGACGATCCGCACGGGCGACGGCGGCGGCGCCGACGAGCCGCCGGCCGTGTCGACGTCGGCGAGCCTCGTCAAGTTCCAGAAGGGCCAGTGGCTCCTCTTCTGCGTGAACTGGATCGACGACGCGGGCGAGCGGCGGTCCGTCGAGGCGTTCTCGCTCACGGCGACGGACCACGAGCACGGCGACGACCTCGACCTGCCGCCCCACGGCCAGGCGTCCGAGGCGTCGGCGGCGCGGGCCGGGCCCGTCGTCGCCCAGACCGTCGACCGCCTCGTCGCGTGCGGCCTCCACGTCGTCAGCCTCACCGCGGGCCAGGGCCTCGTGGACCGCGCGCGGGCCATCGAGCGCCTCCTCAAGCAGCGGCCGAACACGCGGAACATCATCGTCATCCCCGCCGTCGCGACGGCCGCGAGCCGCCGGACGGTGAACGGCGTGTTCTAGAGCGACGCTGCCCCTCCCCCCCGTCGACGCGTGCACATAGATAGACGGCTCTCTTAATCAACAGCTCCTTGTGTGACTCGAGCGGGGAACCTGAGCCCCCACTCGGCAGCTCCTTGTGCGACTCGAGGGAGACCGGTGGGTTAAGAAGCCTCTTCGCGGTATGGAACTCGCATCGGATTCGCGCATGCAAAGGGAGGGGGGGTGGCTCAGGAGGAATTGGAGCTCTCCGTGGACGCGCGCTGCTGGCGGGTCTTGTTCCCGCTCGTGTCGAGCTCGAGCTCGTAGACGAAGATCTCCGGCGCGCTGTAGGACGGGTGAAGGTCCGTGATGAGGAGCGCCGTGATCTCGAGCTCGTGGAGCCGGTCGAAGAAGGGCTGGAGGTCGCTCGTGCGCTGCTCGCACGCAAAGTAGCCCTTGTTGTCGCTCCGGAGGCAGTCCGCGAGCGTGTCGCAGAGCGGCGCGTAGAGGTGGGACGCGTCCCGCAGCAAGCAGTCGGCGACGAGCACGACGTCGTAGTCGCGCGTCGGGCTCAGGCCCCAGGGCAGCGCGGCCGCGCGCACCTCGGCGGCCGGGCCCCGCGCGTCGCGGAACCGCTCGCAGTTGCGCTCCGCCAGGGGCAGCGCGTTGTCCAAGTCCGTCAGGTCCACGCTCCGCGCGCCGAGCGCTGCAGCCACCAGGCCCAGGAAGCCGCTGCCGCAGCCTAGTTCCAAGACAGTCTTGCCGTCGACGGCCGCGCGGTTCCGCTCGAGGTAGCGCGCGAGGCAGATGGCGCAGTCGCTGACGGCACCGGCACTGTCGTCGACCTCGCAGATGACCGTGCCGCCGTCGCCGCTGAGGTCGAAGCGTTGCTCGTGCACCGTGGCGTCGGCAGCGGAGGCCGCGCTGACGCTCCAGCCGCGCCGGATGACCGCGCGCCGCTTGCGCGCGCGGGCCGAGGAGTCGTCGCTGTCGTCGGCGTCGGTTGGCGTGGGCGTTGGTTGCAACTCGGACATGGTTGTGGCTGAGTTCTGCTCGAGCTACCAAGTGCGCATACCCTTTTGATCGGCTGCCGCCTAAAGTCGTCAGTTCGGCCGGGCCGGGCGAGAGCTCTGCAGCTGCGCGGCGCAGTACGGCGAGGCGAAAGATTTCGCAGCCGTGGCTCAATTAAATTTTATTTTTTGTCTTGTGCGAGGGCGCCTTTCTTTCGCCCAGTACCCTAGATCCATAAAGGCGGGGCCAGACTGGGCATGGCCGCTACCGAGAGGATGCCCAGACGATCGGGCGACCACTGGCGTAGCCAGGCATCCGAATTCGAGTCGACACGCGCGATCCTGAGCCTCAGAAGCCGCCTAAGCGACTACACGCACACATGCCTCGACGCATTAATCCCCCTGGAGCATGCCCGACTGCATTTTCTCCGTCGCTGCGGCGTAGGACATGTCCCGCGCGCCCTTCCCGAAGACCTTCGAGCCCAGGTCGAGGTAGACGTCGCCGTCGCGGACGTCGGCGCGGACGGGGACCTGGGTCCGCGCCTTCTTCGTCGTCGGCGCGCGCCGCGCGAGGCCGCCGACGAAGCCGCCGAGGCCCTGCTTCTCGACCGCGCCGCCCGGCTCGCCCGTGACGAGGCTGTACGTCTGGCCGCAGAGGCCGCAGGCGACGGACGGCTCGCCCGTGACGCTGCCGCGCAGGTCGCCCTTCTCCAGGTCCCAGGCGCAGCAACTGCAGGCCGCCTCTAGCACGTAGAGCTTGCCGTTGCACGTCCCGGCGGTGAGACGCACGGACTCGCTGCCCGCGACCTCGAGCGCCCACCCCTTGAGCTTCTTCTCTTCGGGCGCTGTGATGCCGGGCACCTTCGTGAGCGTGACCTTCTGCTTCTTCGCGCCCTTCTTCTTCGAGTCGAGGCCCAGCTTCCGGGCGCGCATGCTCATGGCGCCGCGCCGCGGCGCCGTCCGCGCGCCGAAGCCGTCGGCGCCGAGCAGCCCTGCGAGCAGCGCGAGGACGAAGCGTTGTCGCGGCATAGTTGTGGCGTCTTTCCGGCTTGCGGGGCAGTGCGGAGCGACGTGCGGAGCGCCCACGTCGAGGCCACCGCAGACTTTGCGATCGGCTCTGCGTCAACACTCGTGGTCAACCTGAGCGTCAACATGAGCGTCAACATGGCTGCCACAAGCTAGTTCTTACACTCTTTGGCGCAAGACGCCTCGCAGGCTTGCTTCGCCGTCAGCTTCTTCTTTCCCGCCTGCCCTTGGTCTTGTTCTTGCACTCTTTCTTCATTTTGCTGGCCTTCATCTTCGCGAGCTTCTTGCAGGTGAGCTTCTTCTTGCCCTTGCCTCGCTTCCACTTCTTGTTGTCCTTGCAGTCTTTTTTCGCCGCCGTCGTCGTTGTCGTCTGCGATTTCGTCGGCGATTTCGTCGGCGCGTCCGTCGTCGGCGGCGAGGTCGTCGGCGCGTCCGTCGGACTCGCGGTCGTTTCGACGGCCTCGGACGCGGACACCGTGCACGTCTCGGTCACGTGGACGGTTCCCCACCGTGGCGCATGCGCACCGAGGAGGCTCACGGATTCGCCCGCGGCGAGCGCGAACGTCGCCGCGTTGTCGTTGGAACGCGTCGCGTCGCACGTGCCGGCCGCGAACTCCCCGCCGGAGATTTCGAGGACGTAGCGTTTGGCGTCTTGACTGGAGGCGAGGCTTACCGTGAGCTCCGTGTCTGCTGCGACGGTCGAGCCACAGGCGACGACGGCACCTGTGGAATCGACGACTTTGATGGAGTTTGCGCTCGCGATGGCCGGCGAGCTGCCCATGTAGTTGTCGCCGACGGCGATGCGCTTCGTGCACGCAAGCTTGTACGGGTAAGCATCGGTGCCAAGAAGCAACGCAGCGACGACTGTGGCCGCAAACATCATGGCCTGCATTTGAGGTGTTCACGACTCTGAGCAGCTGCTCTGAGCCTGAGGTGTTTTTTTCGTCTTCGATCGCTGTTTTGGTGGACGTGCTCACCATGCCAATAAAACGATTAGGCCCGCACCACCCCTCTCCCCCGCACCTCCGTCAGCTTCCGCCGCCCGTCCCACGCGTAGTCGAACAGCGCGCCGACGCACTGGCACGTCGCGACGACGAACCAGCCCACGGCCGCGACGCCCACGTAGCCCGCGAAGGTCAGCAGGATGACGTTGGACCAGGACCCCCACCAGTTGCCCTCGGCGCACTTGAGCACGCCGAGCATGAGCGACGCGGTCGCCGTGCCCGCGCCGGCGTAGCCCGTCGCGATGATCGTCGCAAAGTACTTGAAGTTGCCGCGGAGCCCCTTGCCCGCGATGCAGCGGCCGAAGACGCCGCAGTGGTGGTCGAAGTCCGTCACGCAGCGCTGGCACGTGCTGCAGTGGTGCGCGTTCGCGTGCGCGTGGAAGCGGTCGCCGTCGTAGGCCGGCGGCTCCCGGGGCCGCCAGACGTAGCAGCGGACGCAGAAGGTGCGGCCGTCGGCGCCCGTCACGTTCTGGAGGTTCGGCGGCGCCATGTTCTGGAGCTTCGCGCGCGCCTCCGGCGGCACGGGCTCGCACGTGAGCCGAGAACGCTTCACCGTGCCCGGGTCGTCGAACACGAGGCCCGCGAGGCACAGCAGCGCGACGGCGGCCTCGGCGTAGACGACGTAGAGCAGCCAGTCCCAGCGCCGCGACGCGCACTCGAGCGTGCGCACGCCGCCGTGCGTCGCGATGATGCACGTCGCGACCACCGTCAGCACGATGCCGCACCCCATGCGGCACTCCGTGCGCTGCCGCGACGCCGGCCGCGGCAGCGCGGGCAGGTCCGTCCAGGCGATCTCGCTCGTCAGCGGGACGGACTGCTCGATGTCCAGCGCCGCACTGGAGCGCTCGGTGAGCTCCATCTCGCTGTGTTTGCGTCCTAGCTCTCAGGCCGGCGGCGTCGAGCAGCGGCGCGCGGCATGCTCTCCGCTCTGGCTCGGCCACAAGAGGCCGGCAGCGAACCACCCCACGACACCAAGCACCACTAACCAACTACCCCTGAGTCGCGACTTGCTCAAAATGAGTGGTCAAAACAGCTGCAACTTGGGGTCAACGAAGCCTGTGAACCACCCGTTCTGGCCGATCGGCAGCTGGAGGGCTGCTCGGCCATGACCTCCACACGGTCGAAATTTATGATCGAGCGTCAAAACCACCAGTTTGCTCAAGCTCGAGATCAAAAAACAAGCATAATTCCGGTGGACTCGAGTGGTCTCCAGCGGCCCCAGGGGTACCACCCCCACCACCACCACCACTACCTCACCCCATTTACAGACCACTCATCTCAGATCAGCATGACAGTGGTTAAGGTTGTCTGTGCATACCTCTTGCTCGGCCACATGATCTGCCACAGGCGATCGACGCGAGTCAATTCTGGCGCGATGGCCGAAGAGCTCGGGCGTCAGATCGCTCTGCAGGCTCGTGCCCTCGCCGACGCGGACGCGGGGCGCATCGAGCGCCGTGTCGTGCGTGTGTTGTCAATGGGGTTTCCATACCCCCATTCCGGAAGCAAAAAATTGATGGCGACTTGGGACTCCCGCAAGCGGACCTTGGGTGGGCAAAAAACCGCAGAAATCAGCGCTCCTCTTAATTGCCTCTTCGAAGATGGATGGATCATTGACCCGGATACTACGCGCTTCCTACGTGAATCTCTCGGTTCAAAGGAAGACGATAATCAGGCGTACACCGTCCTCATCCGCAAGAAGCCGGCCGCGGCTTAGAAAGGCGCGCGACGCGTTCGCGACCCGTTCGCGTGCGCATCTCCCCGCGAAGCCAAGCTCAAGAGAATCCCCCCGAACAAAACCCAATAAACATGCATAATCCAACTGCCACGTCGCGCGGGGCGCGAACCGCACCGCGCGATCGAAAGAAACAAACAATCAGACCGCGGCGCGGTAGTCACTACGGTAAGCCGCACGGCGCACACGCAGGAAAGTCGCCCAGGGACGCCGATTACTACGCCCTCATCAGCCCTGCCCCCCGGAGGCGGAGAGGCTGATGACGGTCGAGGGCGTGAGGCGGCGGCGGCGGTAGAAGAGGACGTAGGCCGCGTCCGTGACGACGGACTTGGGCCCCGCCTCCTCGACGACGTCGTCGTCGACGTGGAGCCAGCGGTAGTCGCCGCCGTCCTCGCCGGGGAAGGAGCTCGCGACCTCCTCGACGCCGTCCGCGGAGCAGGGCACGGCCCGGACGTACGACGTGTAGTGGCCGCCGGTCATGCCGCCGAGGTGGTTCGTGACCTACGAAGTGGAACGGTTTCGAAACGCGACGTCTCCGGCGTCCGGACGCGGGTCTCCCGCCGCGAAGAGGTCGTAGGTCATGGCGCCGCGCTGGAGGGACCGCGCCTCCTCGTGGACCCAGGGCGCCATGTCGAGCGCGGAGAGCGGGAAGAGCACCTTCGTCCGGATCTTCTCGCGCCACTTCGCCGAGCAGAGGAACCGCTTGACGTGGATCACGAGGATGTCCGGGAGCTTCCAGGGCTCGATCTTCGACGTCGCGGACCGCGGCTCCTTGCACTGGGGGCAGATCCACGCGTCGGCCTCCGAGAGCGTCTCCTCCTTGGAGAACGCGTCCAGACAGTGGCTCAGGGGGATGCCGCCGTCGTCGTCGCCCGCCGACTCCTCGGCCCGGTCCCGGAGCTCCGCCGCCTCGAGCTCCAGGCAGCTCTTGTGCTTGGGCGCGTGGCGCAGCGGGTCGTCGAAGGCCGTCACGTGTGTGCAGTCGAGCGCGAGGCACATGCGCCGGTCGTCGACGGCGTCGCCGACGGCCGCCGTCGGCGTCGCCAGCAACATCTCGCAGTCGCGGCCCGCGCGCTGGTCCTCGGGCACGAGGGCCGCGCGCCGCGCGTTCGTCGACGGGTTCGCGGTCGACCCGACGGCGACCTTGAACGGCAGGCTCTCGTCGTCGGCCGCGCCGCCGTCGCGCGGGAAGCCCGCCGCCGCGCGGTGGTCCCGCTTCACGAAGAGCCAGGCCTGGCGCACGACGGCGCGGAACAGGGACCGGCAGGACCGGTCCGACGCGACGCGGACGACGAACGGCGACCCGAAGAGCTCCAGGCTCGCGCCGCCCGCCGCGGGCCGCCGGTGCACGCACTGGAGCTCGATGACGCGCACCGTGTGGCGGCTCCGCGTCTTCGGCGCCGCGAGCTTGCCCTGCTTCCACTCGTTCTCGCCGTACCACTCGTCCCAGCGCGCGGAGAAGCGGTCGAAGTGCACGCGGCGGCAGCCCGACCTGTGCCGAATTCAAATCTTCAACTCGACTTCAATGTGGGCGTACGCGACAGTTTCGGCGCAACCTCTTCGGCTTTGCTTCGAGAACTCGACGAGAGCAATCGATTCGTCCAAAAATCAGCCGAATCGACTTCGATTTGATCGAGATAGAGAATTCTGAAGTTTGGTCAGGACCACCCAAACCAGTGGTTGATTTCGGCGCAGGACCGGACTCGTCGATGGCGACGACCTGGCCGACGAACCACTGGCCCCGGTGGTCCAGCGCGTCGACGCGCGTGCCCACGCGCACGCCGTCCAAGTCCCCGGGGAAGTCGGCGGACTCGGCCGCCGCCGCGCCGTCGTCGTCGGACGCGTCCGCGTCCGCGTACGCGTCGCCCGTCGCGCGCTTCGACGGCCGCTTGCCCGCCGTCGCCGACGGCGGCGCCTCCGACTTCTCGTAGGCCACGACGACGTCGTCGTCGCGCACGGCCGCCAACGGCTCGTCGTCCTCGAGGATCCGCGCGAAGCGGTGCCGGTAGACGTCGCCGACCTGTGTAGATTCCAAATCTTCAACCCGACTTCAATGTGCACGTAATCGAACGGTTTGGACCAGACTCTTTCGCGTGCTTCGAGAACTCGACGAGAGCGATCGATTCGTCCAAAAATCAGCCGATCGACTTCGATGTGACCGAGATAGAGAGTTCTGAAGTTTGGTGGGGACCCCCCAAACCAGTGGTTGGAATCCACACTGCCGCCGACGGCGATGTCGGCCCGGGGCACGCCCGTGACCTCCGAAAGCGCGCTCTTGAGGTCGCCGACCTCGCCGAGGCGCGGCACGGAGACGCCGAAGATGGCCGCGCGGAGCTGCTTCTCGCCCGGGCGCTTCTTGGACGCCGCGTGCTTCGCCGACGGCCGCCGCCGGCCCGCGCCGCGCGGCAGCGGGTCGTCGTCGTCGCCGCCGCGGCCGAAGAAGCCCGACGCGCCGGCGAGGAAGGAGCTCTGGGCCGCGCCGTTGGGCGCGTCGCCCTCGTCGACGGGGCCCGCGAGCGCGTCCGCGCGGGCCTTGGACTTCTTCGCGGATCGGAGGAACGCGACCTTGAGCCGCTTCTCCTGCGTCGACGGCAGCGGGACGGACAGGTGCATGAAGGGCTCGAACTTGACGCTCTTCTTGCCGCAGGCGCAGCACTGCTTTTCCGATTTGAGCTGGCCCTGGAAGAGGTCGACGATGACGCTCCGGTTCCGCAGGAGGTAGCGGTCCCACGCGTCGCGCGCGGCGACCTCGTACGTCAATTTCGCGACGTCGTCGTCGTCGGGCTCCTCGACGTAGGGCTTCTCGACGACGCGGTTCACGTCCTCGTGGAGCACGTCGAGCATCTCGTTGAGGAACTCCTGGCTGTCCTGCTGGTCGTTGCCCGCGAATTGGGGCTTCGCGCGCGCCAACGCGCGCTTGAATTTCGACGGCGCGACGGACCGGTAGCGGTCGGACCAGAGCATGCGCAGCACGTTGGCGAACTCGTCGACCATGCGGCCCTGGGAGCCCAGCGGGTTCGCGCGGTTGATCTCCGCGGCGAACTGCTCGCTGAGGACGTAGGCGCGCAACAAGGGCGTGTGGCTCAGGCACTGCAGCGCCGAGTTCATGAAGCACGTGTTCCCCAAATTCACGAGGCCCGTCGCGCCCGGCAGGTCCCGCGCGCCGGGCGGCTTCGCGTCGCCGTCGCCGTCGGACTCGAAGGACCCGGACCGCTTCTTGGGCTTCGCGTCGGACGCCGCGGCGCTCCGCGGCTCGGCCGCGGACGACGCCGACGAGTCCGCGGACGACGCCTTCTTGCGCCCGTCCTTGCCGAGCCCCAGAATCGACGACGCGTGGCGCAGGGCGCCGCCGCTCGGCGCGTCGGCCTCGTCGTCGTCGGCCGCCGCGTCACCCGGCGGCGGCGCGTCGCCGTCCGCGGCTTTCTTCTTCGCGGCGTCGTCGACCCGCGCCCCGGGCGGCGCCTGTGTGGAACTCAAATCTTCAACCCGACTTCCATGTGCGCGTATGCGACGGTTTCGACGCAACCCTTCGGTTGTGCTCCGAGAACTCGAGGAGAGCGACCGATTCGTCCAAAAATCACCCGAATCGACGTCGATGTGACCGAGAGAGGTTTGAAGTTTGGTCGGGACCCCCTGAAGCAGCGGTTGGTTTCCACACCGGGCGGCGCGAGCTTGGCCGAGTCGGCGTCGAACCACTCGTCCCACTTGGGCGCGAACTTGTCGAAGTGGACGCGCACGCGCGCGGGCTCGGGCCGCCGCTTGCGGCCGGAGCGCTTCTCGCTGTCCGTCGCGCCCGCGGGCGGCTTCGGTCGCGGCGTCCGCGGGGCCGCGCCGTCCTTGGCCGCGGGCGAGCCGCCGCCGCCCGGCGAGTCGCGGCCGTCGCCGTCGCCGCGGTCGACGGCGACGACGGAGCCGGCGAACCACTTGCCCCGGTAGTCGCACGCGTCGACGCGGTCGCCGACGTCGAAGTCGCGGAACGTCGCCCGCTCGAGCAGGCGCTTCCGGGGCCACGCGCCCTCGGCGTCGGCGACCTCGACCATGAGCTCGGACCAGTGGCGCACGCCCGCGGACTCGAGCGTGCCGTCGGCCGCGGCGAGGAGGCGCCAGCCGCCCGCGGCGCGCGCGGACCCGGCCGCTTCCCGGAGCCAGAGCCGCGCGCGCCGCTTCTCGTCGCCGCTCTTCGCGACCGCGGCCTCGAGCTCCGCGACGCCGAGGCCGCGGCCGTAGCGCTCGACGCGGCTTCGAGGTAAAGGGCGGCCCGTGGCCTCGTCGCAGCCGCAGACCCTCAACGACAACGGGTAGAGCTCCAATTCCGGCGCCGCGCCGGACCGCCGCGCCTTCACGGCGCGCGGGAACGCGGGCCCGCCGCCGTACCAGCGCCCGAAGAGCTCCCAGACCGCCGCGGGCCAGACGACGTAGTCCGACCCCTCCACCAGATCGCCCAGGAGCTCGCCCTCGTCGCGCGCCTCGAGCGACGAGTTGTCGACCTCGTCGGGGCGGCGCGCGGCGTCGTCGTCGTCGTCGGCCCGCGGCGGCTCCGCGTCGCGGTAGGCGAAGGACTCCAGGCGCCGCGGCGCGACGTCGGGGCTCAGGCCCACGTACTTGCACCAGCCCTCCCACCTGTGTGCAAATCGACCGCTGGTTCGGGACGTCCCGACCAAACATTGAAATGCTCGAGCTCGGTCACATCGAAGTCGATTCGGCTGATGTTTGGACGGATCGATTGCGCTCAGCGAGTTCTCGAAGCACAGCCGAAGAGCTCGCGTCGAAACGGTTGCATACGCGCACATTGAAGTCGATTTGAAGATTTGATTCGCACGCGGCCCTCCCACCAGGCCCACGCGACGACGTAGTACGCCGTCGCGTCCTTCGCGTCGGGCGCCGTCGCGCCGCGCCACTTCTCGACGACGTCGCGCCGCTCGCTCGCCGCCGTCGACAGCACGATGAGCGGCTTCAGCGCCGCCTCGACGGCGGCGGAGGCGAGGTGCGCGTCGCACCACTCGAGGAACTTCCGGAAGCTCAAAGGCTCGTCGCCCTTGGGCGCCGCGGCGCCGCAGAGGTCGCAGAGCGCCTCGAGGCCCGGCTTCCCGAGCTTCGCCGAGTCCTCGCCGTCCTCGTCGACGTCGCCGAGCGCCACGTCCTCGTGGACGGCGCTGCCCGCGGGGCCCGCCTCGAACAGGACGAAGACGCAGAAGAGGAACCGCAGCCGCTCGACGCGCGTGCCCCGGCAGCACCAGGCCAGCGCGCGGCAGAAGTCGCGGAAGGACACGAGGCCGCAGTTCTGCGCGTCGAAGAGCGCGAAGATGGCCTCGCCGACGGGTTTAGGTATGGACTTGAGCTCCGCGAAGACGTCCTACGGAATCGCACGGTCGGTCGCGCGGAAAAAAAAATTGTCGCACCAGGAACGCGGCCCGGTCCAGGCCGCCGGCTAAGACCCGGCTCTTGCCGCCCGTGAGCCGCGCGGAGCGGTAGAGGCGCTGGAGGATCGTGACCTCGCCCGCGCGCCACTTGTTGAGCAGGACGTTCGTCCGCGTGGCCACCGCCGGGTCCTCGCAGGACGCCGTCGACGCGCGCGCCGACGCGGCGCTCAGCTTGCCTGGGGGCGTCGGGCGTGGCCGCAGCGCGCGCGGGACCCGCCGCGCGCGGCGGCGGCGCGCGGCGCCCCGAGGCGCGTATCCGAGCAGGAGACGCGGGGCCGCGCAGATGTTACCCATGGTGAGACGTGACGGTCGGTGCGCCCCTTCTGGGCGCGACCCGACGGCGCCTCCCAGCTTTCAAGATTGCTCCTCGACCTATGCTTATTCAGCTCTCACGCCCTGCCATTCCCTGCTTGCTTTGCCACAGCACTTTCACATGCTTGTGAGCGGCAACATTGCCTTGTTTACTCTTCTGGCATGCCCATGGTCTGGGCAGCGCTGCCCGTGGTCTGGGCAGCGTTGCCCGGCTGAGCGCCCAGTCGGGGCAGCGCTGCCCGGCGCCGATGCCGCGCGTGCATCCCGTCGGCGCGCCCGGCGGCGAGGAGACCAAGGCGGACACTGACGTGGAGTGCTGGTACGCCCAGTTCCTCAAACGCAGCGGCGCCTTACCCGTCCTCGTCGACCACCTGCCGGACGGGACCTGCGTTCCCTGGACGGCCGCGGAGCTGCGCGCCCGCGTCGACGAGTTTCGGCGGCGCTCGCCGTGGGCGCGGGCGACGTCGTCGGCGTGAAGCTGCCGCGGGGCGCGGATTTCGCGAGCGCGCTCCTCGCGTGCTCCAAGATCGGCGCGGTCGCGCTGCCGCTGCCGCTCGACTACCCGGAGGAGCGGCTCCGGGACATCGCCGCCAAGGCCGGGGCCGCGCAAATCGTCGAGAGCGTGGACGCGCTGCTCTCGTCGCCGAAGCCGCCGCCGCGCGCGCCGCCGCCGGCGCCGGCGCCGGAGCGGCGCGGCGGCGTGATCCTCGCGAGCTCCGGATCGACTGGCGCGCCGAAGCTCATCGAGCGGCGCGAAGCGTCGTTCCAGCACCGCCTCGACTGGACCTGGGGCGCGCATCCCTACGCGAAGGGCGAGGTGTGCGTGCAGAAGAGCCACACGACCACGACGCACGGCCTCTACGAGCTCCTGGAGCCGCTGCTCTACCCGGGCCCCCACGCGCCGCCGGTGCACTGCGTCGGCGCGGACGTCGGCGACGTCGGCCTCGCGCAGTTCTGGAGGCTCCTCTCGGACGTGAGCGCTACGAGGCTCCTCGCGGTGCCGTCGCTGGTCAAGACGACGCTCGACCACTTCTCGTCGGAGGTCCCGGCGAGCCTGACGCGGATCGTTTTGATGGGCGAGGCGCCGACGCGCGCGCTCTGCGCCCGGGCGCTCCGCGAGCTCCGCCTCGACGCCTTCCACAGCGTCTACGGGTCCACGGAGGCGTCGAGCTCCCTCGTCCTGGACCTCAAGGCCCAGCTCGCGTTCGACGGCGACGACGACGGCCCGCTGCCGCTGGGCGGGCCGCTCTGCGCGTCCGTCGTCGCGACGGTCGCCGAGGCGGACGGCGCGCTCCGCATCGCGGGGCCGAACCTCTTCGCCGGCTACGTCGGCGACGACGCGCCGAGGCTAATCGAGAGCGACGGGGGCCTCGTCTACGACACGTCGGACCTCGCCGCGCTGGAGCCGGCGCGGCCCGGCGACCCGGCGGCGGCGTTTGACGTCGACGGGTCGCCGCGCCGCCTCGTGCACCGGGGCCGCGCGGACGACGTCGTCAAGATCAGGGGATTCCGCGTCGAGCTCGGCGACGTCGAGCAGTACGTGCGAAAAGCGGCGGCCGCGCTCGACGTCGCCCTCGACGACGTCGTCGCCGTCGTCGCCGGCGGCGCGCTCGGCGCCGTCGCGGCGCCCGCGGACGTCGACGGCCGGGCGCTGCGGGCCCACGTCGCGACCATCGCGCCGGCCTACCTCGTGCCGCGCGCCGTTTTAGCCGTCGACGCCCTCCCTTTGACGCACCGCGGCAAGAAGGACCGCGCCGCCGCCGCGCGGCTCTACGAGGATCGCAAGGCGCCCGTCGCTCGCGGCGCCGCGCCGTCGCGGACCGTCGACGCGATCCTGGAGACGGTGCGGCGCGTCGCGGGCGTCGACGCGCGGCCCGAGGACCACCTCGCGTCCGCGGGCATCGACTCGCTGAATTTGTACGAACTCGTCGGCCAGCTCCGGGCCGCCGTCGGCGCTTCGGTGCCCGACGCGTGGCTCATGGCGAACCCGACGGTCGCGGAGCTCGCGGCGCGCGTCGACGCGGGCGGGGACAAGAAGAGCGGCGTGGCCATGAACATGGCGGCCATCGCGGGCCTCCGCGGCATCCTGGCGCTCAGCGTCGCGCGCGGCGTCCCGTGGTCGATTTTCGAGAATTTCGGGATGGGAAAACGATGAGAAATCGTCATCGTCATGCTTGGTAGGTCGTGCGGGGGCACCTCTTCATCTACTGCCCGGGCCACTGGCGCGACGACGGCGTCGGCTACGGCGACATGTTCCAGTTCTACCGGACGCTGTTCTTCATGCTCCTCGCGGCCATGTCGCTGTCGATCCAGTACGACGCCGTCGAGCTCCCGACGAGGGATCTGGTGTTGGCGAACGGGATGGTGCTCCTGCCGACGTACCTCGTGGGCCTCGCCCGCGCGACGCCGATCACGACGCTCCCGTGCGCGTCGCGGTCCCTCGCGTGGGTCCAGTACGCGTTCTGCGCGACGATGCAGCAGGGCTGGTACGTCGGCGGCGTCCGCGTCGGGCCGGGCACGAACAGGCTCGCCATCATGCCCATGACCCACTGCTGGTATCTGACGTCGCAGCTCTGCTTCCTCGTCCTCTTCAATTTCTTCCAGGACCTCGCGAAGCGCGGGGCAGGACAAGAGAGCGACATTCCCAACTTCAAAGGCTCCGATCTCGGCCGTTTTCCACTCGGTTCGGCTGATCTTTGGACGAGCGATCATCTTCCGGAACGGTCTCGAAGCGTGGATGCGTTTTCCGGAACGCGCGCGCGCGGAACACTCACGTTGAAGCGACGTTGAATCTCTCTTTCCCTGCCCAGGTGAAGCGGCACCCGGCGCGGAGCCCCCGCGACCTCTTCGACCGCGCGAGCTGCCTGACCTACTGGTTCTTCGCGCTCCGCATGGTCGTGCTGATTGCGGGCGGCTGGTGGCCGTTGCACGCGTCGCCGCCCATGCAGATGATGACGTTCTACGCGGGGGTCTTACTGGGGCAGGCCGCGCTCCACGCGCCGCTGACGCCCGCGGCGGAACGGACGTGGGCGCGGCTGACCGACGGCCTCGTTCTGGGGTTCCTGGTCATGATTTTTTCGTGGGGGGGACTGTGGTTCTTCCTGCTGCGCCTCGGCGGCGAGCCGTTGTTTGTGGTTTTATTGTTCGGCATCACGCGCTCCGACTGCTACGCGGCGCGCGTCTGCGCCCGCTTCGCGGAGCTCGGCCAGTATTCCTACGCCATCTACATCATCCACCCGCCGGTCATCAAGTGGGCAAAATTCACAGCAGCAGCGCGGAGCGGAAACGTCGTCGTCGTACGCCGCGCGCCTGAGTTCGTTCGAAACGCGTCGCCGAAGAGAGAAAACACCCGCGAAATTTCCAAGAAGAAGCGACGCGAAACCCCCCTAGGCGTTGCACGGCATCCGTCGCTGGGGCCCGCTCTTTGAAACGGCCACCTACACGTCCGCGCGGTGCCGCGACTGGAAGGAGGTCGAGGACATCGTCGGCGAGCGGCGGCCGGGCTTCGGGGCGGACGAGGCGCCCGAGCGGCAGCGCTGGTATCTCGACCACTACTGCCAGCTCCACCCGTGGAGCTACGTCGGGATCTTCACGACGATCATGTGCGCTTCGTGGCTCATGACGCGGCTCGTCCACCAGCCCTTCACCAAGGCCTGGAGCCGCTACCTGAATCGCACCGGGCGCAATCGACCGCGGCCCCGGCGGCCGCGCAAGGCCGCGGAGTGGGAGGCGACGGTCTTCAAGGGGGCGACCGTCGACTTCGACGGCTCGCGGTGCTGCGGAAATGCGTGCGGCGCGACTTGGAGCATCATCGTCGTCGTTTTGGTGATCGTGCTCCTCGCGAGTACTGGCGGCGTCAACCCGGGCGCGAGCCTCTGGCTGCTCCCGCGAGAAGACGACGGAGACGAGGACGTCCGTAGTGGCGGCGGGAACACGACGTCGGTCTTCGCGGGCCAGGGCGGCAACGGGACCTTCTGGTGGCTTCCCTAATCTTTATTTTGATACGCCGTGTATTTGGCGCTCGATCCGCGCGCCTTGTCCGCGGGGTACTTCTTCGCGTTGAGGTCGATCTTCCGCGTGATCGCGGACTCCAAATCGACGCCGCAGACGTCCGCGAGGCGCACGAGGTAGACGAAGACGTCGGACATCTCCTCGCCGACGTGCACCTTCTCCTTGGCGCTGAACTCGGGCAGCCCCCGCGCGACCTCGCCCTTCCACTGGAAGCACTCCGCGAGCTCGCCGACCTCGCCGACCATGGCCGTGAGGATGTTCCGCGGCGTGTGGAACTGGTCCCTAGAGGTGGACAGGTGAGCTGCAGTTCGCGCGGCGCGCGGCGATGCGACGGACGCCGGCGCCACACCAGTCGCGCGCCTTCGCGAAGGCCGCCTGCCGCTCGCGCACGGCGCGGATCGTCAGGTCGTCGTGCGCCGCGGCGCCGACGCCGACCCAGGCGCCACCGGTTTGCGCGGACGCGTGGACCGCGTCGGTGACCCGCTGCACGGCGAGCCCGTCGAAGAGCGTCCCTAAGGATGTGACGTCGCCGGACGCGAGCTTCCGCGCCAGCCCCGCGGTGCCGACCTCGGACCAGGCGTTGCCCTTGTCCGAGACGACGCGCGGCGCGCCCTCGCCGAGGGACGAGACCGTCAGCGTCGAGTCGAGGAAGTCGAAGTCGAAAGTGCCCCGAGTGCCGACCACCGTCAGCCGGTTCTCGAAGTCGCGGCCCGGGCAGCGCGCGGAGATCGTCAGGTGCACGCCGACGTCGCTCCTTCGCGCGAGCCGCAGCTGCGCGCTGCAGTAGCCGTCGGCCGTGACCTTTTCGCCGGCGATGGCTTCGACGAGCGGCGCCTCGATCGCGCTCGCGGCGGCGACCTCGTCGTCCAAAAGCCACCGCGTCAGGTCCGTGAAGTGCGTGCCCACGGCCGAGAAGCCGCCGCCGCCGCAGGCCTTGGAGTTCCAGTGCGAGAACTGCGGGTTCGTCGGCTCGAGGAAGCCGAAGTTGCCGAGGCAGCGGAAGTCGACGAAGCGGACGTCGCCGATGGCGCCGTCGGCGATGAGCCGCTTCGCCTCGACGAGCGCCGGCACGCACCGCAGCTCAAAGTCCATGAAGTGGCGCACGCCCTGGGCCTCGGCGGCCGCGAGCATCGCCGCGGCCTCGGCGGCGTCGAGCGCGCAGGGCTTGTCGACGAGCACGTCCTTGCCCGCCGCGATGGCCTCGAGCGTGAGCCGCTTCCGCTCGTGCGTCGGGCAGACGACGCTCACGAGGTCGACAGTTTGGGCCATCGCCGGCACGCTGTCGTAGGCGCCCGCGACGCCGTGCTCCGCGCAGAGCGCCTTGGCGCGCGCGAGGTCGCGCGAGTAGAGCGCGGCGACGGGCAGGCCCGACTCGCGGAAGCGCGGCAGCTGCACTTTTAGGGCCCAGCCCGTGCCCACGAGGCCGACGCGCGGCGGCGCCGGCTCGGCCAGCGCCCACGTCGTGCTCGTGAACGCCGCGGCGCAGGCGCACGGCGCGAAGCGACGCAGCGATGCAGCCATCTATGCTTTGCAAGTCGTGTGCTCAAGCAATCTTGCAGCTGTGAGACAACGTGCGCGGCAGCGACGCGGCGCTCTTCGACCTGCTGAAGCTCTTGGTCAGCTCCAGCTCGAGTGCCGATCAGCGACCTCGCAAACTCGCAAAACCAACTCCCCGGCGCCGTCCGCCGGGGGCGAAGGGCGATGCGATGCGTCGAGCTACGTGCTGAGGCGAAGGCTACCCCTCCGTGCGACGTGTGGAAGGTCCGATAGCCTCCGGCCGAGCCGATGGCGTCGCTGGCTGCCCCCCCGCTTGGCCACTTTTGGCGGCTTTTTTTTGGCGCAGACTTGGCCGCTGGCGCCGCAACTCGATCGTCGCCGAGCTCGAGGCCCTTGTGCGCGCGCGCCGTCGACCGCGTCGACCGCCGCCGACCGCGCACGCGCTCGCCGCCGTCCGCGGAGCGCACGCGACCGCCGCGTCGACCGTCCGCCGACCGCGCCGCCGCGCCGCCGCGCACCGCAACCATGCGCTTCGCCGCGGAGCTCGTGGCGCACGCCGCGCAGCGCATGAACCCGCTCGGCGAGCGCGAGATCAGCCTGCGCGGCTACAAGATCGCCGCCATCGAGAACACGGGCACGCTCAAGGACGGGTGAGAAGGCACCGTCTTGAACCCCCGAAAACCTCTTCGGCCCCCGCGGGCCGCGGTAACGTCGGAGATCGTATATGACCCTAGGTACGACTGCGTCGACCTGAGCGACAACGAGATCAAGACGCTCGGCAACTTCGCGCCGAGCCCGCGGCTCGGCACGCTCTTCCTGAACAACAACCGCGTGTCGCGCGTCGACGGCGATTTGGGAGCGCAATTGCCGAATTTGCACACGCTCATGCTCACGCGGAACGCCATCGAGGACCTCGAGGGCCTGGGCGCGCTGGCGTCCTGCACGAAGCTGTCCCTCCTCAGCTGCGCGGAGAACCCGGTGACGCGCTGCGCGCACTACCGGAGCTACCTCGTGGCGAAGATCCCGACGTTGAAGGTCCTCGACTTCAAGAAGGTCAAGCCCCAGGAGCGCGTGGACGCGAAGAAGCTCTTCCCCGAGGGCCAGCCGCCGACGGTCGACCTCCGGGCCATGGCGCCCAAGCCGCCGCCCCGCGTCCCCGGCGGCGCGCCGCCGCCGCCGCCGGGCCGGCCCGCTGGGCTAGGCAACCTCACGGACGACCAGAAGGCCGCGATCCGCGCGGCCGTCGCGGCGGCGTCGACGCCCGAGGAGGTCGACGAGCTCGAGCGCCAGCTCCGCGCGGGCATCATCCCGGGCGCCGCCGCGCCGCCGACGCCGCCGGGCCCGCCGCCGGGGCCGCCG